TCACAATTTATAATAAAGAGTAGAAAAAATAAAATTAAAATTAATTAAAATAATGTCAAGTATTAAATCTTATTAAAAAATTCTTTGATGTCGTAAAAATTATTTACCTTTAACCATATTAATAACATTTTTTTAAATTGTCTGTCATCCAGCATTTTCATGTTATTGGGTATTTTTTTTAAAATTCGTACAAATATCATCAAACAATTATTACTATACTTTACAGATCTAGGGGTGTCTTTTAGCACTAGTCTATGTTGGTTCTTTTTTGGCCTATTGACTTCGTTTGCTGTTGTAAACAATTCTTTATGATTCCTTAAGGCATATAAGGCATATACATTGCGAATTGGTGGACTTAACACACCTTCGAAATATTTTTAAGTTTTTCTTCACCACAGAGCATGTAATACATCATCAATCAACACTTAAAATCAAAAATTTCATTAATGCCAGCATCGGGATTTGAACTCAGGTTGCTCAAGCCAATATTGAATTAAAAGCAAGTCCCCTGACACAGCTATCAAGGCTACATATTTTTTATTATTATATCATGGCTAATTTATAATTCATATTTAATTTAGGAATCTATGCATACATTTGTTAAATTAACACTTACTTCATAGGTGCAGTGTATGTATTTTTTATATTACTTTACAGTTAATTGAGACGTTTGTAGTAGTTTTTTACATTTTCATTGAAGCATTTATCACAAATTTTCTTGCTCTCATGGATCTATTCATCTACCATGCCTCTAAAAGATTTACCTGCTAGCTCAACACATTTTTTAAAGAGCTCTGGGGTTGGGTTATTCAAATGATTTGGAAAGTTTTGAACAGGTACACCTGAAAATAAACCAGAAAGTTATATTAACTTATATTAGTTGTACCTATTTATTTCAGTAATGTCTAATTAATGTTAGGCTACAAAGTTAAGGCTATTTGGAAACCTCGTATGTATATTAGGTTTTTATAATAGGGGAATAACCATACCACAACAACCAAATATAAGCAATTTATAACAAAAACCTTAACAGAGCTATGGGTACAGCACCATAAATTTATGTTATATATTTGTCATAACTTTACTTTTTCTTTATTTGCTTTTTAACCAAGGTAATGATAGGATTAACAGGAATACACAAAGAATACATGTATTGCGCGTATGCAATCAATTGTACATACATCTGATGTGGTAAAAAAATAACATTAATATTATAAGTAGTCTATACAAAATGGAATATGAAAATTACCCGTGTTCACACATCCAAATATATAATATTTAGAAATAGGCAAAGTTACAACACAAAACTTACCTTACTAATATCGCAAAAATTGATTAATGGCGTCCAAGACATTGTAAAAAACACAAGCCGTCGTAAGTTTAGCGGAGAAATTTTCAACTCGACCCTAAACACACTTTTACTCAATTCAAAGAAATTTGGAATTCGTACTGCCATAAACACAAATGCAGAAAGACAAGGATTAATTAATAAATGCGTATACGCAATTAAAAAACATCAAACATTTGGACATTTTAAAATTATTAGGTGACATTTTTTTTTACCTTTCTTCTAGTTTATAACATTGTATTACAACTATATCACTTGTATATAGTGACCTCTAGTTAAAAAAAAAGAAAACATAACATTTGTTTCAAGATCCTATAAGAAAGATGTCGCTACAGAAAATACTCGATCGGCTTTGTATAGGAGATTTCCCGCCCCTGGCAATGAATGACTTGGTCTTAGCGGCGCGTCGACGAAACTCGCGCGCTGCCCGCCGCTAAGCGGCGTTACCCCTCCTCCGCTTTCTCATACTTCACCACCCAAATAGTTAAAAATTCACTGCATACAGCGCCTTAATATGCACAATGTTCGCGTAAAATCAAGGTAACAAAAGGTGCTTGATGATACAAAAAGCGCTAATCCTTTCGTTTGTTTATTTTCGCTGCTCGAGAAATAGACGAGAGGCGGGTATGATGTTGCTACACAGCACTTATTGTGTATTGCGTGGTGTGCGGGTGTTAAGGGCCGTTTTTAAAGAGCATGTGATACCACAGTATCTACTTTGCCGTTCACGATTAATATACACGTGCATCAGCGGGTTTTAAGGGCTATTTTTTTTTTAAATGACTTGATATTGATTTGATATTACAATCATTGTCAAGTATACTTTGGATCGGTCTTCCTTTTTTGTGATAATTTGAGAAACGAACGGGTGGTTCACCTGATGTTAAGGGATCACCGCAGCCTGTGAAAATCTACAACACCAGAGTAGTTGCAGATGCGTTACCAACCTTTAAAAAATTTGTCCGGCTACCTCACTCATCAGACGAAACGCGAAAGTATAACACTTCCACTTCACGCCGGTCTTCTGTGAGGCCGTACACCTCCCTGGATGAGCTTGCACACTCGTGCAACAGCCTAAGGTGCTGCGTGGCCCTACCACAATCCCTCGTAGGAAAATTATTTTTACTCTCGTTCGGAAAACTAGTGAAAGTCTACGTGTTAACTATTGTTGACTTTCTTCTGTATATGTCGCTCCAATGATAGAAGGTACAAATGTATCACTCCCGTTTAGATTTAACATTAGATAGGTTTAGACAACACCAAACTGCACTGGACATGAATGAAGGTGTGTACATCAGTACAGTACAGTACAGTAGTCGGTGTAAAATATCTGGCCGAACTACGTGTTAAAAACGCACAAGTTGCCGAGAGTATGCTAGTCAAGGTCATAGTGCAACTCGCTTGGTGTGACCTCTTGTCCATCTGAACGATGAAAGTCGTATCAATCTCTCGGTGCGGCCTCTTTATATCTAGCCGTGCAATCATACCAGAGTTTAACAAGCAAACCTACTAAGCGCGGCTCGAGCTAACGGCGACCGCGTTTGCACAGCACCGGCGGTGATTACGGGAAATTGTTTTAAAAGCACCCAACGCGTGCTAACCGACCACGCGGAAAAGGAGGCGCGCGTGTCGAGTGCATTTCACGGGTGCTCCACGGCGCGGTAACGATGTATCGCCGCCGCAGCTCTAACGACTGTCGCGTCACACCCGACTAATTGGAGACGCCGCCGCGGGCGTGGGGCGCGCCTGGAACGAAGGCATGTGCTAATTTTTGGTTCCGCGTCTGAAAGCGCACGCACTGCGGACCGCTTGCATCGTTTTCCCGGGTTTCTATTGACGTAATTGTTAATTGGCACGATGTGGATTGATTATACATGAGTTTATTATTTGTGTTTCTAAGCAGTGAAACAATTGGAAAATGTCTTTAACCAGTCCATGGAACAAGTACCTAGATCGCGAAAACACAAATACTGGTCCCGTGCCCCGAAGCCAATAGTTTAGCAACTTCGTCACCGAGTCATTGTTGTTATGTAGATGTTATTTAGTCAAAAACAATATAATTTAAGTATCGACATAGCATTGCGAGTTATTATCCGAGTGTAGTAGTAACACTAACCAGTTCTTTATGCGATTTGGTTAATCATTTTGTATTAAATGCATGGTGGTTTCCTGGAATTGCGAAATTTTCTTTCACAAACACTGAATGTGCCGTGGTAAGGCTACGCATCAGTAAACTGTTGCACGAATGGGCAGGCAGCAGGCGTGAAATGGACGGTTTAAACTTGTGAGTTGTTCGCTGAGTAAGGTCACTGGGGCTCCACCTTATTAATAGGTCGCAACGCATCTGCAACCCTACGGATGTTGCAAGTGTACGGACGGCGGATAACACAACACAGGTGAACCGCCAGCTCGCTTGTCCTTCTCATATTAAAGAAAAAAGAATATCTTCTTAAAAAGAAATTCTAATTCAGTTGTCAATTAAAAAGACAGAAGATTGCAGACGGAACCAATCGCCGCGAAGCCTATGCCAGCTTAACAATTCTTTTATATTTTAATTGCGTCTTTGCGGTGGCGGCGCCGTAGCCTTGTTCGCACGTTTCCGGCTCTAGGCACTCTACCGTTGGTACACTCGTGGAAAACCGTTCGTTACGTCTTATTCGTGAAACGAGCCAACAATGTCTTAACAGCTGCACCTTGTTTGTACGTCAAATTAGCGTCGGCTTTGCTTTTTGGCGAATATTTTTGTCATAGATTTTCCGCCATTCAAATCGAAAAAGATAATATTGACCTTCATATCATACCTTCATATCACCTTCACTATCATAAAGTTACTCAACAAATCTGAAGTAACTGCCTGTTACTTGCAACCACCTATATCCAGATTTGGTTCTTATCATGTACAATAGCATACAGCCGGGATAGCTCATAGTCCGGCCGATCTGCGGTGCGGGCACCAATGAAATTTAAGTGCTGACTTATCATGAAAGAAAACATCGCGAGGAAACATGAATGTTTTCGAATTAATAAAAAAGAAATATTTCGAACTATTTGAAGTCGGGCCATCCGCAGTGGGGCCTCGTTTTGGACTATGCCGTACAGAAGTGGCTTTTACCCAGCATTGTCAGCATATATATATACTGTTACTTTACTTTTGTTTATGTATCATCATCATCATCATTTCAGCCTGTTTGAGTCCACTGCTGAACATAGGCCTCCCCCACAGACTGCCACGAAGTACGATCCTGAGCCACCTGCATCCATCGACTTCCCGCACATTTGCACATCGTCACTCCATCTAGTGGGGGGTCGTCCTACTTTGCGATGGCCAATACGAGGCTGCCACTCGAGAACCTTCTTATGTATAATATATAAAATCTATATAATATCTTTTGATTTTTATGTATATATTAGGAATACGGTTCTTCAACATGCACAGTTTGTACTTTACTTCTACTGTATGACAAGACCTCGAAGATACGATTTCGAGGTTGTTGATGTAGGGCATCTACGAGCCATGCGTGACTCGGTTTTCTATCGTTTATCCCTGATGCTAGGTTATCAAGTTAAGAGTAAGGCTTTATTACTAATATATAGTTAACTATCGTTCTGATGGCATTAGAGTTGTCAGTAATGTTTAATTGTTTGTTCACAGGTGCATAAGGACTTCTTCGGACGTATAGTGCCTTTAAGCAATGCGCAAAGACAAGGTAAGAACTTGTTAATTTTTATTGCTATGTTATTATAAATTTATTAAGAGTATTAAAACAGCCTAAATTAAAATTTGGCTGCCCTAACTTCTAGTAGATCTATCATCTTTGACTCGTGTAGTCAAAGATGTTATCTAAATTTTACAAAAGAGTCTCATCGTCTAAACCTTGGTACATTTATATACACTGTCTCCACGCTGATGCTTATGATCTCCCGCTTAAGATCTCTCTCGCATCCAATCGTCCCAGCTCCACAGCCGAGTGTTAGTCTGATGCGAGTACATTCGCAACGTTTCCGACTAAGCCCCAAAACGTTATCACATAACGTTAATCACGCGTCGAGTTAGCGGCGCGCCTATTATTTTCAATTACGGGCCCGCGCCGCCAGGAAGGGTTGTTAATATTCATTCCCCGACACTCGACCGGGAATCGAACACCTGATCCCCCGCACCGCCCGCGCCCCCCCCCCCCCCCCGTTTGTCTGCCGCTCCGATATTAATCGTGCACAATTTGGCCGCGAATGAGAAATTTTAATAGGCATCGAGAGAATTGTGTTTAGCGACTTTAGGTACGGTCCACACTCGAGCTGCGGCGAAAGGTTTGCCTATGTAATTCGCAATCGAGTCATTTCACTATACTCTAAGTTTATAATAAAATAGATGCAATTACAAGATTGCGCTACTCAACAAAAAGGAAATTAGAACCTGTCAATAAATAAATTAGTAAAGTGCAACATAGAATGTGATATAATTATCTAACTAATTAATTAAATGGCATTGCCTAAATGTCTAAGTATTGCATAAATGTTTCATAGTCAATAAGGAATATCGATATCGTATGATTTGATAAGACTTTAGGGCAAAACATTTTTCTAAATTATGTGACATTTGCAAACATGTGGTAGTTTCAAACATTTGGGTATTTACGCGTTCAGCACGTGTCGTCATTATGGTTAAAGGACTCTGCCCACTAAAACGTATCATACTAATGAACGTAATAACTAATAGGCAAAAACCATACTTTTTTTTTGAAAAGTATGATTGTATGCCTACTAGACCGTTCCGTCACCGACCAGCACCGTCGCTTGCCATGCACGGAGCGTCAACAATTGACGAGGAGAAAATTTTACTGGTTCCTTAAATATGTCGTGAACACAACTACTAAAAGATATTTAAAACCACGTGAATGAAAGACGTGTGCGTAAATCCACACTGGGATCGCGTGGAGGACTAATCGCTATAACCCTCGGTATAGCTTTGGAATATAGGTATATAAATATATAATGATTTTATTTACAAATTTGATGACTCCGTGTTTGTCCTTACAACAGAGGATCATATTAACCTACTGTAGGTTAACTGTTTTCGAAGGGAAACCACCTCGATACATCTTCTAGGTCGAAATGATCGTTGGGATAAAAATACATTCCTAATCTTCACGTAGTATAAAAAAACGTAGTATAAAACGTAGTATAAAAGTCCCGATGTTTATACGCTTAGACCTTTTAAATTACGCAAAGGATTTTAATGTGGTTCAGCAATAGATAGAGTGATTCAAGCTGAAGGTTTATATGTAGTATACATGCATATTAAAGTAGAGAAATGTTGTGAAAAGTTAAGGAATTCAATATCTACATTGCACCCGTGTGAAGCCGGGGAGGGTGGCTAGTACAAAATATACGCTTTACACTTGGTAATTACAGATTCTTTTTCCTCGTCAAAGTGAAATCCCTTAATACCAAATCCACTGTTTGGTATAAAAAGATTTTTCTTTATTCGCGTGTGACTGTGTCCTTATGGTTATTACCAATGTTATCGCACGCCGAGCCTCCACAATTCTCATTAAGGTGACTGCCTAATAATCTCAACGAGATTTCTAATAGGATTGAGTGAGAGTTCTCACTGTCTTCCCGACTTTATTCCCATATTCTGAAAGGAATTTGTCACGATTTCGCTGAGCACGGCGGATTTTAGGGATGAGAGATTGGTGTTTTGTCAATCATTCGTTTTTTTATTGTGATAGAATCCTCCCGTGTTTGGACGACACTTATCGCCTTTCAGATAGTAAACGTTGTTTAGGTTTTCTTATTTTTGTATTTTATATATCAGAGGCATAATAAAAGATGTTTTCTTGGTAACTCGTATATTTTGACTGTTACGCGTCTCTGCCAGTGAGTGTATGGCGACTCCGGCATTGTCTGGCGTGCCCGAAGAGTGGCCCCCGCGTTTCCCTCGATGTCCGACTGTGTATTAAATTGTCTACGAATAATCTTCGTCCTCGCGTAATTTGAATGTAAAATCTATTACAAAGGCGCTGCGCTATTTGTATGCGTCAATCTCCCTACGCGCTATACATGCGTCACAATTTGCTTACGCGCCAAACAACACGCGTCCCTTCACGTAATACGCCTGTAAACGAAAAACGATAGAGAAAGATAGAGAGACAAAAACCGTAGAACCATAATTCCTAAACCTCTTAGACCCAATGCGTCCTTGCGTCCTGTATGAAAAACAAGCTCATACTTATATGGACCTCAGTAAGAGAAAATAAAAAATGATTTTTTTTTCGTTCGCGGTCTAATTGTCCACAATGTATCTGGTACTCCTCAGCCATGCTACCTCACTCAACTTGCACAAACCAGACAGTGCTCTTTGAACGTAAAATTTTCTAACAACAAAATATACACGCACGAGATTAATATTCTTTATTTTCTTTAAGCTTTTATATTTCAATAACAAAATAAACAAAATAATGAACCTAAAAACCGATTGGTTAATGTATAATAAGCTTTATACATCAACAGAGACGAATAATAGCTGGAGCAAGTTGTAATGAACGCTATGTTCTAATTGTTTCGTCTCCTCGGAGCGTTTCAGCTTAGTTATTTGATTTAACAGTTCTATTACCCATCGCGTTCTAACGACTGTGTTGATTGTATGACTTCGCTTAACTACAACCGTTATAACTAACGATACGGGGTGATACACAAGATTTATTTATGTTTGAATAGTTTTTTGTAAAGTATTGTTTACCTAGTTATTTATAAATGTATTTATTACCGTTATATATAATAGTAGTTATATATAATAGCATTCTAGTTACTTTTGTTTATGTTCTGTTGGGGGCGAACGGGTTTCCGTTTATTTACATAAAAGACTTTCATAAATCTACTTTGATGTTTGACAAAAAGGTACGCTACGATTAGGATTTTGAAGCTATCTAAAGCGTTGTATAAGTTTTTTGTGGTTATGAAAAACTTATTGAAGAAATGTTTTTAAAAGCTTTGAAATTAAAAATGCTTCGAGTTTTTTCGTTCAGTATTAACAAAAATTAACCCAGTATGTATGTACTTGGCTAATATTTTCCAGTTTTCATAAAAATTGAGCCACAAAGGGAGAGAGATGAATGTTTCTCTTTAATGTTTCGTCTTTTATTTCCCTTCGTTTTCTTGCATCTGATATACTGATTCAGTCGTTCAACTCGCAAGAAAATTATATTCCTTACATTATTAAAAAAAAATGTATCGTCAAACTAATATCGGGGTTCCGTTCGTTCGTAGCGAGTTTATTTTATTCATGCACTACCGTCCGTCGCTTAAATGAAACGCAAACTGCTGCCTCCGCGACTGAATGCTTAAGCGGGATTCTTTTGAAAACGGTGTATATTAAAATACCTACGGCGACTCGTTATTAAAGAAAGTAGGTAAGCGCACACGAGATTACATAATGCGATAGCGTTGGCGCACTCCGCAGCCCCGCTCCCGGCTCGCAATGGGCGGCACAATGGATGGCAATTAACTAGTGCAAACAGCCCGGCTCTCCCCCCGCCCACGGGGCCGTGATTATGCCGAGGCTGTTAATTATGTTTTAGGGTTATCTACTTAGCAGCGAACGCAATCGGTTTAAATCGCGCACATCGCTCTCGATCCGTCGCACCATTACCCTTTCGGATATAGTTGTGTACTTTCAGATATATTTATTACATTGTTTTAGTTCATGTGGATGACGTAGTTGTTTAAATTCGTTATGTAAATATTTTCGATAACGTATTAAATTTAATTGATGTTTATCTTGGTCTTGTCTGCGTCGAATGAGCTCAAACAAAATGAAAACGATAAAATCATTAAAAAATTATTTCGTTACGTTAATTCGTTAAAATACATAAAAAACGAAATGCGAGATTGCGCGGGTATTTATTATTAAATAGATTGTTCAAATATGGAGAGAATCTTAAATACGGAAATTTTATGATAAATAGAAAGACTTACAGGTGTATGAACAATGCTAGCTGCATTTATAATGAGTTTAATCTCCATCTATTAGATACGACACTTAGTCTTTCATGTAATGAAAAATAATGACACAAAAAATTTTGTACATGGTCTGAAACTTGGAATAATTTCATCGACAGACTGTTTTTGTGTGATCTCATATACGCTTAAGTTCGTTTGTTGGTAAGTCTGCTATCTCTCCACTCAATAGTGACTGAATAAATTAAATGAAGTTTGAAATGAAGATAGATTTGCGAAGGTAAAACATTATACTTTCTTTCATCTACTATAAAATTCCTTTTTTCATCACTATAAAACTTGTTAAAGTATGTTATAGTAACTTCAATTAAAGTTTCATTATTTATTTTTGCTTTTTCGTTACGGGAAACGATATAACTATATCTGATATAATGAGACTGTCCGTTGTGAGCCGTTTGTAATGTAAGCAGTTAACCTTTGAAGAGCTCCCTCGCTGTCTTTACTCTTTATCTCCGTTTCAACTTTAACTTCATGATATTGTCTTGACAACTGCGCTGTATACGTTTCAGCTTATAGTAAAATTACTTAAGCACCAAAGTAGCCTCTCCGTTCCCATCTTGGTTGTTAAAATTATATTAAGAAAGAAAAATAAAAAATTTAAATAAAGGAAAACAATATGCCTACGAGAGTCGGTGGATTGCCTGAGTTATCCTCACGTCCAATAATTGTCTGTCAACATATAAATAAACGTAACTTATCTTTTACTTTCAAGTATAATTTAATTCACTTTCTCACTGTAGTATATATTATATGTGTTATGAAATAGATATATATTATATCTCTTATGAGATAGAATCTGATTAAGATTATGTCAGCCGATATGATTATAAATGTTTTCAATGTAAAATGCATAAAGGAGAATTATTTATCTAAGTTTCTATATCCTAGATTAACGGGGGGGGGGGGGGGGGCTTAGGTTGGCCAAGTGGCCTGCCGGCGTCCGTCTTTCCGTCCGATTACAACGTAGGCGTCTTCAAGGCAAGATTGAATAGGTTTCTACTGAGCTAGCGCGCTTACCACCAAAGGCTGCAGTTGTAAAAAAAAAAAGAAATTGGAATATATCTCATTCAATTAGATATGACACTTGCCTCCCACATCATTCATTGTGATAATAATACAGATAGAATTACAATGTCACGCCATTATACAAATTACCATTTCTACCCATTATGTTAACGCCACAAGAAAACATTTAAATGTGTGAGGCATACATTCCCACGACAAGAATTAATTTATAGCTATGCGGCATATACGTTGCTAACCCCTTTCGTAAATATATGTCGCTTAACGATATAAACAATTTTGCTAAATGATAATTGCTTCGAAACGCATATGTTGTTTGCCACCGTGTAAAATTATTCTACTTAATTAAGACTAAGATTTAAAAAAGATTGCTCATTTCAAAGAAAAACAAATACTAAATGAATTTGTTTTTAATTATTTTGATGAATTAGGATAACTATTTTAATTATTAATGTTACTTAATAGTATTTGCAGTACAGATACAATCTAATGTATCATAAACATTTAAACTTTTGTTCGTTTCTTTTCAAGGGACAATAAATTTAGTTTAACTAGTGCATTTACGATTACTGCACAGTTTAATAAATAAATAAATATTCGGTACTCATTTTCAAACAATGTTGCTTAGTCCCGAAGTAAGTATCGCTTGTACTATCGGTACTAGAAACTACAAGATAAGCATACTTAAACACACTTTTTTTTAAATAAATAGATGTTATAACTATATAAACACTCAGACACTGGAAAAAGACTATGTTCATATGATTTATTAAACGAGTGTACAATACAATGATTTATTCTATTTTATGCATTTGTTGCGATTTTACTAATTAATTAATAATTTTCAAGTTGTCTTCAGTCCGAGTAGAACAAACAGTTACAACATGACTTTAGACACCTCAAACTTCACTAAGGGATGTAACAACGAATTGCGCAAAGCAAAACCAAAATTATATTGCTATGTTATTGAAAAGAGAAAAGAGAAAGGCCAGCGGAAGCTACGCGGCTACGTTGCTACGGTGCTACGCCTGATAGATGCGTAGACGATCTTGCAGAAACTGTATTTAACGGAGACGAACACAACCTTAAAAAATACAAAACCCATGAAATGTCAAAATTAGTCTGTGTGTGTGTGTTTAGTATTCGTAAATTAACTTAATTTTTTTTAAATCAACTATTAACTTGAATTGTCCACAGAAGCGTTACCCGACGTGATATCATCGAGTGGTGTATTCTACCAGTACAGAGAAGGGTTCAACAACGCCGTGCGTCGAAATGTTCGTGTGCGTGACTTATTATAACCATGCCAATGTTTAGAATTGTTATAATATTCTTAAATTTGTACAATAAGTGTAAAAAAACACGTAATTCAATAAGAATACAAAATAAATAAGAATTATTAAAATTTTTTCAAAGATTTTCATTATTATTGAAATAGTGATCTATTTCAATAATATAAATTTTTGGAAAACGTAAAATGAAGATTATGCAATTATGAACAAACGCGGTGATTGTAGAAGAGTGAAAGAAATCAAAGTTATCTTTTTAGTTAAATCAAAGTTAATAAGTTTTTGTTAAATCAAAGTTAGCTTTTTACGCCAAAATTGGCCCTTGTTTAAATAAAGAGTCGAAGAAGTCGTTTTAGGTCGTTTCCTGACACAAAGACAAAATTATGATTTGATAGTCGCCGCCCATGATTATGTACAATACCTGTGAGGCTGCAGATGCATTACTAATCTTTTTTTATGTCACAAAGTGGCAAATGAACTGACCGTTCAAGAAGAAGTGATGAAGAACTGATGTTAAGTGATAACCGCCACCAATGAACATTTGCAACGCCCGTAGGATTGCGGATTCGTTGCCACCTTTCAATAAAGTGGGCCCCGGCTATCTCACTCACTACTTCACGCCGGTCTTCTGTGAGTTCGTGGTAGTAACCGGGACGGAGCTGCCCATTCGTGCAACAGCGAACACTGTTGCGTGCCCTACCACATACAAAATCTAAACGTGGGCCCCGGTTTTCTTACTCACCAGGCGAACGCGAAAATATAATAGTTCCACTTCGCCCCAGTCTTCTGTGAGGCCGTGGTACCTCACGATTAGCATGCCCATTCGCGCAACACTACTAGTTATTGCGCGGTACTACCACAGTAACAATTCAAAGCAAAATTCAATTATTAACTAGTGTACGTCAAATTCTAAGACGGAAGTTTGAACAATAAGAATCTATTCTCAAATACAATAAACAAAAGAGTTTATATGCGTGTGCGTGTTAAATACACGGTAGTGTGTTTTCTATATTGATTTAATGTATTTTTTATGCATGATTTTTAAAAAAAGATTAACATTCTGCACTACTCTACAAAGTTTTTGATATCAATATATAGATAAATACTGGTCCAGCTAGCTGCCTCCAAGTAATTTTATGTTTATTCAGATTTAATAAAAGTATCAAACATCTGAACGAAACTCATGTATCCAAAATAACAAACAGCACTTTAGAGATAAAGGAAGTATTTGATACAGGTGTTGCAATTTCTCATCTATTTTAATAAAAGCAATGGCACCAAAGTCGTTAAGGCGAGCGTTGAAGCAAACTCGCTTCATAAATACATCAGAGACGATATTTATGTGCTTAGTTCGAGACGGTCCGTCTTCAGAGCACAGTGATTAACTGTTAAACTTGGCCGGGAGATCTACTGCAGTTCTTGTTCGCAGTACGAAATTCTAATGATATGGAATCATTGTTTTATTACTAATAACTTATATACAACACCTGCTCTACATTAACTAGAGTATTGCTTCTTGCTCTACTTATACAACAGATTTTTCCCCTGCAACAATTATCCTTCTTTTTAATTTGCAGGTCCATTAAGGAAGATTTATCATAACGTGATCAAAAATTCGCTAGTAGGTTAGAAAAAATGGCACCGCATTTCATTTCCGAGTGTAAGTCATTTCTTACTGTTCTGTGTCAATTTGAATTAATTCGTATTGCAGGGATCTTGGTTCATATTTATATTTTTCACCAAATAACAGTTGATTTTAATTTTTCATTTATTAATTATTATTTTTTTGTGATTATTGAAGCTAAGCACCTAATGTGAACTGGATAACCTCGGTTTTACCCTGGGCCGGATGATAGAAGTATAGAAAAGTATAGTAAAGTATAGAAAAGATCCGAAGAAAGAAATGCTCCGTGCAATATTTGAGGGCTCTTATGACAAAGGACGTCATGTTATGTAATCATCATCATCATCATCATATCAGCCGTAGGACGTCCACTGCTAAACATAGCCCCCCCCCCCCCCTTGACTTCCACTTCGACCGGTCGTTAGCGGCCTGCATCCAACGCGTCCCTGCGATCTTGGCTGGGTCGTCCGTCCACCTTGTGGGAGGCCTTCCTACGCTGCGTTTGCCGTCACGTGGTCTCCACTCGAGAACCTTTTTGCACCAACGGCCATCGGTTCTTCAAGCTATGTGCCCTGCCCACTGCCACTTCAGCCTGCTGACTCGCTCTGCTATGTCGGTAACTCTAGTTCTTCTACGGATCTCCTCATTTCTGATTCGATCTCGTAGAGAAACCCCAAGCATTACCCTTTCCATAGCGCGCTGTGCGACCGCGAGCGTTATGTAATAAATGTCCCAAATACGTGAGATATATTTAATATCATAATGATTGTGCTTCAAAGCGGCTTATACACTCTCTAGAATGAGAACTGACAGAAAGGTGGGACAAAGTGAGAAGGCAGATTTAACAAAGAAATCCAAACCTGAAAACTTAAGGCCTTAAAAGCAGAAATTAGCAGAACAGAATTCAATCCAACGAAGAAAATTTTTAGTAGTAAGTATTCCTTGGAATGGCCGCAAGAGAAGAGATTTTTTAGGAAGTTAATTTTCTTTTTAACCGACTTCAAAAACCTCCTCCAGGTTATCAACTCGGATGTTATTTTATGTATGTTCGAGCATAACTCCGTCATATATAGACGGATTTGCAAAAAATCTCGAAAGGGTTTTATTCCAGAATGGTCCCATTTTTTTGATCTGATGAGTTTTGGACATAGAGAACGAAACTCTTCAAAAAATTACTACTGCTACCGATTGCTACTATCGTATAAGTATGCATTGTTTTACGCAATCACCCAACAACATCACGTCTGTACTCTCGAAAGTATTAAACAGATAGATAAAGAACAGAAGGCCATATTTTTTATCATAGCTTATATTGTCAAAACTTTTAATTGGCCACGGTTTTTTTTTTAATTCGATTACACGTTCTAGCTGTAAGTTTTCATAAAAATAAAACACAATCCCCGGTGCCGGTACCAATGAAGTTGTTAATCTTAAGTGCTGACTTTTCACGTGCTCAGCAGTTAAGGAAGACAAGACATCGTGAGGAAACCTGCATATTTTCGAAATAAAAGCAATAAAATATTTCGAGGATACGTGACGTCCGCCAATCCGTGGTGGACTGTGCCTCAATAAGCTCTGTACATCATTGTTTGCGGCGTGTACCAGCTACGTAATTCCCCTGAGTTATCTGCCCGCGGACCGCTTCCGACGAAGCTGTCAAAGTCTCCGAGCTAAAGCGTAACTACAAAAACGAAAAAGTCGTTTCATAAAACGATAGATGCATTTCAAAAATGTTGTCTATACGAACGGCTTAATCCTAATTATCTGTCAGCATTTCGAGATTCCGAGAAGTAATTTAATATCGGGCTGAAATGCATGAGAAGATTCTCCTCCATACCGCTCGCATCGTTCTTTTGTATCCGAAATTTTTTAGCGGCACGAGAATTAAGATCCAACTCAAACTTTTAGCCAACCCCAAAATGTCCTCTGAAAGGGGAAGGTGCTATATTCGAACTTTGCTAGCCTTAGTTCCACCCTAGGTAATCATTCCACTCAGCATATACAGCAGTCTTAGAAGCCACTCTCAACTCTCATATTAAATCCCAGTCGTTCTGCTCCCATCTTTCTACTGGAGCAATTGCCTAATGATTATATTCGTTGAACCTTTTACTGACCGTAACTATAGTTTTTTTAAAACCTATTACCAAAAATCTGCGCAACAGCTGTTCAAGTCTTTTCAAACAGTAATAATTATACCCTGTAAATCGATACGTTGACGGTGGATACGTGCTTTTTACTTTTGTTCAAATTTAAGATGTTCTTGTTAGTTTTATGATTACGTTTCACGACGAAGGCTACATTATTTGGCTGCAGCAAATAAACTTAAAACCATGTGGAATTTTTCATAGTTATGTGCGGTTGCATTTGCGACGATTTCTCCGCCTTTCCGTAATGAGATATGTAACTGAGAACAAATTTGCAAAACATCCTCTTTACCTAGAGAAGACGGCATCTGGCTATCAAGTTAGTTCTACGTTCGATGTAGCTTTAATAATCTACGTTCTGTAAGCGAAATTATCAGTCAAAGTAAAGTATATTTAAGGGCCAGTATTTCATTATTATTATTGTAACTTTCATTATTAAAACATTTCCATTACCTATATAAGACTTATTTTCCATTTTTTTATGTTAGAAGGTGGCAAGTGAACTGGCATTTCCCCTGATGTTAAGTAATAACCGCCGCCATAGATATTTGCAACACTCGTACGGTTGCCTCACTCACCAGATGATATGCAGAAGTATAACACTTCTATCTTCTATCGTCATCTATCAACCTCTCAAGGTTCGACTGAAAACCAGCAATCGCGAAATTTTCTTCTAGATGTAAACCTTTTTGGTGCATTGATTGGTAATTTTTTATTCTTGTTTTTTTTTATTTTAAGAGTTTTTTTTTGTACCAAATAAACATTTCTCTCTTGCTTTCTGCTTATGATTTTTTTTCTTTCTACTTATGGTCTCCTATAGGTCGTGATACTTCCCCGGATGGACCTGCCCATTTGTGCAAAAGCGAAAACTGTTGCGTGATGTTATTTTATTATCTTAAAGCGAAAACTGCTGTTATTTTTATTACATTACAAAATGCAATAAAAATAACAGCAGTAATTTTTATTACATTTTGTTGCTCTTAAATATATTGTAATAAACTGTAATAGAAATCAAACCACGACTAATATTTATTTCATCTAGATTTGTTCAACCAAAAATATTGTTGTATCGACGTGTACGGGATATCATTAGATAGCGTCCAAAAATTATAAGGTATCATCTAAACTATAAATAATAAAGACATTATGGTTTTTAAAGTACCCTAACTCTACAGCGGAATAAGTAAGCGAATTACAATTATATCTGTTTTTATTTACGTATCATCATCATTATCATCCCCTTTTCAGACTATTAGAGTTCCCTGCTGAACATAGACCCTCCATAGACTGTGCCATTAATCACTATCCTGAGCCACCTGCATTCATCGCCTTCCCACACATTTGCACAGGTCATTGCGATGGCCAATACGATGCTGCTACTCAAGAACCTTTCCTCCCAATCGGTTATCAGTTCTACGAGCTATTTGAACGGCCCATCGCCACTTCACGTTACAAATCTGAGCTATTTTGTTTATCTTCGTTCTACTGTTTTTGTTCTCGTGACCATTATATAATTACAGTAATCCATCGCTTTATTATCTCTTATATACAAGGACACGTACAAATATTATTCGGTAAGTATGCACCACATCCTTAATAGTGAATAACATTATATCATCTAGTGAAAAATAGAATTTAGTTCTATCATTGTCAAAAACCGCGAGACCTCTCTCTCCTCGATAATTGTTGAGATGGACGAACATACGGAAAGTTAAAAAAAAGTATATATGTACTTATGTACGCGTGTAAGAGTTATGCTACTTTAGCGTGACAAAAGATTTTTTTTTATGCGAAAAGTTTCCAAACGAGCAGACGGGTCACCTGATGTTAAGTGAATACCGCCGCTCATGGACATCTGCTACACCCGAGGGTTACAGATGCGTTGACAACCTTTTGAAAATTGGGCTCCGGCTACCTCACTCACCAGACGAAACGCGAAAGTATTTGTCATACTTCCACTTTACGCTGGTCTTCTGTGAGGTCGTGGTTCGTACCCGGACGGGCCTGCTCATTCGTACAACAGCCGAGGCTGCTGCGTGGCCCTACCACCGTGAATTAGTACCACGACCTCAAAGAATACCGACGTGAAGTGGAAGTGTCTTACTTCTGGTGAATGAGGTAGCCAGAGCCCACTTTAGTAAAAGGTGACAACGCATCTGCATCTCTACGGGTGTTGCAAATAAATAATAATAATGAATATTTTAGGACACATTTTATACACAACGTTCTCTAGTCCCAAACTAAGCAACGCTTGTACTACGGGTACTAGATAACTGATAAACATACTTATACATACTTTTCTTTAGTAAATAATTACATATTATACATATATAAACACCCAGACGCTAGAAAAAACGCTATGTTCATCACACAATATTATTCCAGTAGTGGGGATCGAACCCACACCCTCTGGCGCAGGAGGCAGGTACACTACCCACTATGCTATTCGGTTCGTCGTCATGATGTCGACGACGTCAAATGTCCTTGGGGGGCGGATGTCACTTCAGGTGATACCAGGTGAACCGCTTGCTCGCTAGCCACCTCTCACCTTAAAAAAATACGTATTCGAGATTTAAATTTCAGAAAATAGGCCCGTAAGAATAATAAGGGTTATTGTACAAGTAGGTAGGTGGAGATAAATAATAGATGTCGCTGTGTATTTAATGTATTATATTTCGTAATAATTAAAACAACTATTCGTGAGTCTACGTACATAATGCAGTTATCCATGTTATACATATTTATAATATTTTACAAGGTACCGCGCCAGCAATTCCACAACTCGTGCATAGTGCAGTGGGCTATATACCTCTATCTCTCTCTGTCTCTCACCTATATACAAACATGGCGCGGGGGTTGACATTAAATACAAGTGAAAATGATCCCTATTCGTAAATAAGCGTTAAAGCAAAACATTTGAAACATCAAGCAAATCCTTAATAAAATTTAACATTGTCTTTGAATTTTCGCATCTTTAAATTTTTAAGGACATCAGTTGAATCAACAAATTGATATGCTGTTGCTTCATAACTATTTATTAATCAAAAAAATGGAAACAATACTTTAAGAATTCTTAAAAATAAAAATGTTACTTACAGATAAGATACATTGCAGAAACGTTATAATTAAAACATTAAAAGTGTATCTGATGACATATATTACTAATATAATATTATTTACATTGACGTTTTATTCTAGCACAAATACGAACATTGATCTATGGTAATTAAATAATACAGTAATCTGTATTGACAAATACATTTGTCTAAAATCTATCTACTACCTAAGAAAAAGAATATCTTACAACGTTTTGGTCGAATACTGTACGTTATGTTGATGTTAGTTCTAATGTATTTACAAATATCAATTGGTAAAATTTAATTTTACCACAAACGAGATAATTTCATTGGTACACACATAGCAATATGTAAGATTCTCATAAAGAAAAAACTATTCAACACACTCGTATGCATTTCATAGCTGAATTCTTAATATCGAACAATGAATAATCTTATTTTTGTTGTATTTCGCTGTTGTAAAATATAGTTCATGAGCGCACAGAGTTTAATTAGTACTGAATTGGCATTAAATTACCAAACGAAAATTGATTTCTGCACACTCGCAGTATTAGTTCCACTGAATTTACAAATGTAACTTAACTCAAGCTAACTTCTAATTGAAGTCACTGATATATATCTTTGCCCGATTGAAAGAAATACGAATTTTATTAAACAGTTTTGTTCAAGAAAATGCACAAATCTTTTAAGCAACCAGAAAAGTGCTCCTATATCATACAGGCCTAATATAAACCCAAAAAAATATTACTTATAGGATCAATTTAAAATGTTATTGAATTAAAAATTTGCCGTACTTTTCGTTTATATCAGCATCGATTATTTCTAACTTAATTTTATCGCATTAGTATCCACACAATCAGTTATATATCACTGTAATGGAGAAAACTAACTGCTCTACAAACACCAGTTATCTTCACAAATATTTACTACATACAACTTATCAGATCCGCTAAAATTAAAATAAAACCTATCATATTATGGCACAATACATTTGCATGACACAATACATTCTGATGACATCAACAAATTTACATGTAATACTGTTTGTATGTAACAAGATTAAAACCATTGCTCTATTGTACGAATTGTACTATATTGTTAATTTCTATTGAGTCTTTCTCAATTATATGAAAGTTTACAGTCTAATTAGTTCCTATAAGAATTGGCTATTTACTTACGATTTTTGAAGAAACTGCTCACATATGAAACAAAAAATACAGTTTTCATGGTAGCGTTGAAATCCAGGCGAATCTTTGTGCAAATTTGACTAACTAAACCACTGTTTTATTAAGGTTTGACTTAAAGTTGTCATTAATCCGTTATTGGAAGATCCTATATTATAAATGGATTTTATTTTATAACAGTCATGAGATTATTGTTACTAAACAATGTTTGCATATTCGTTTTATCACTAAAAACCTTTTTTTCACTTTGGCAAAAGTCAATTTATAAATCCTAATAATTTTATTTCGAAATAGATTCGCTTAAATCGTATATTGAACACGACTAAGCATTAATATTAATCAAACCCTTGAGTAGTTTGGCATTCGTGTGACAGCATGTGTTGTTGGAAAAGGGGAAAATTAAACATTATTTAAAGACAAAATTTACACCCCCAGTCGGTATTATATCCGAAGATTCGAATATTTTACATAACATACTAGTGATTTCATTTAACGTATAAAGATGGCGTCCACAAAACATCCATTTCATATACTTTCGGTGCTGTGGGATTCAAACCTGCGTCTTCTAGTTTCGCGCCCAGACGCTTTACCAACTAAGCAAATGGGCGCGAAAATCTTGACATTTATCTTTATCCTACCATCTATCCATTTCCTTTTTTTTAATTTTTTAGAGTTCGCGCGAAAGGGTAGGGATTTAATTTCATTGATGTTGCACTAAAGAATATGGATTCTTTCTGAGCGAGACTCGAGTAACATTGTCATCCAGAGATTACTTGTTATAGCATTTAAAACAGTATTTAAGTCATTAATCGAAAGTACAAAAAATGGGAAGATGAATTTTCGTGCAATTTCTTAACGTTATTGCGTTACAGAAAACAATCAAAACCAAATTGATGGCGAGTAGTAATGGTTTTGTGTTGCACAATTAGCGCAGTGAATATAAATAAAGGAAAAGGACGCTGGTAGAGCAACGGGGAATTTAACTATCATTACGAGTAACTAATGACTTCGCGAGGGAAGTCGCTACCGTCGTATATGCTATAAATGCTGCCTTACTCCATATGCTTGTGCGGCTCATTAGAGTTGGTTGCGGGCGCGTTGGCGTCATGTGGCAACAGCGGCAGTGGCAGCGGTGGCAGCGTCAGTGGCATGGGTAGCAGGGCGCGCGACTGGAAGCTGGCCAACGAGTGCAGCAACGCCGCGGAGTGCTCGTGCGCTTTGCGGCGTAGCTCGGCCACGCTCGAGGAGCGAGCCTCTTCCTTAGGGCAGCACGGGCATGGCGCGCCCCAACCTGTGGCGAATGCAAGAGGCATTAATAAAATAACTTCAAATATGGACCGCGAAACTTGTGGCTTGTGGAAAACTACTCGACACTTGGTCCCAATTGATTTGAGTAATAATAATAATAGAATTTTAATTGACATACTTAAACATATGTGAAAATGTTCGAAAAACCATTTCCTTTGTTTTAAATGAATTCGGCCTACAAATTCGTATGTTATATTACGTTACGATGCAAAGAAATATTGGCCATGGACACGTAGATGCGCTACGAATATAAAGTTGTAAATAAAAAAAATGTTCTTCCTTCGAGAAACTCGAGAGAAATAACTCACCTTTCAACGGGAAGAACGGCTGCGACAGATGGTTGAGGTGTTGGGAGAGATGAGAGAGGTGCTGGGGGAGAAAGAGGGGGGGCGCGGGCGGCTGGTCACCATTGCCCGGCGACGAACGGAAGGCACCCGAACTGGTGAAGAAAAGACGACTATTTTAAAGCTACCCCATCTCTTGTTCACATGATCTAGACAGACAGAGATAACTGCGTGCTTGTATAGCTATCCATGTCTGATTATAACCGAGCTGGTGGAAGTAACAATTGCGTTAGGTGGCCAACCTCTTGTCTTCCTTCGGCTTTGAACGTAAGATTGCGGCCAGAAATTATTGTGCCAGTTCCATTTTCAGTTATGCCACTGGAAATCGACCTCCTAATTCAGATCATACGTCGTTATTATAGCGTCGAGGCAAACCACTAGGCGATCATAAACGCCTGTTGAAAATATGTCTACTGATCTCATATTCCATTTCTGCTCAGGATTTATGAGGCCATGTTGCCTCTGTGTATTTATTATATGACTGTTTCATATAGCCCTATTATAATATATAAATTTAAACAAGAGTTGTACTGTAATCACCTAACTACAATAATTTTCTGATGGTAAAGCGTATTTCTTAAAAAGACTTCTTAAAAATAAAACTAAGAGTTTTAAAAAGATAAGTGATTATTAGATATTGTAAAAAAATACTTGTAGTATGTTGTAATTAGTTCTTTACCTACTACTACAAAGGCGAATAATAAAAAATACTCTATTTTCTTTTGTATAATACAGCAGTCTCGTGCTCGCCTAAATTTCAAATGGGTAGACAAGCCTGCATTCACTGTCTCTTTTATTTATTACATGTAAGAAAAACATATTTTAGCACGATTATTATTATTTCAGACACTGATTCTATCAAGTCTCATAAGAAATAGTCAACGGGCTAAATTTACATTCGGTCTCATTGCATGCCGATAAATATGTCGTAACTAAACTACTTCTGAGTTGATGTTCATGTATATTTTTCTAAACTGAATATCCATTTTTTTATGAATAAAAAATTTGACAAATAAAGTAGCATTTTATTTCAAACATCGATGCAATAGTTTCATTTTCATGTTTCAATACACGAATAAAGTTTTAGCTCTCTACAAATTTAGTATACATATTAAAAAAAAATTCAATAACACTTTTAAAAGTCTCGAATCGAAACAGATAAGGAATTGAGAACGGGCCATTTGTATATTTTCGTTGCAGAAAGAAACGGATAGATGTCTGGCCCCGTTGATATTGATCTAGTAAGCGTCACGAACCACTTTGATCTACGCAAATAACGTTTGCGCTCAGCCAACCGGCGACGATTGGAGACGACTCGCTTATTTTATTTACTACTTTGTATAGAACTCACTTAAGCAATCCAATTATACGGGACTTCTGCTTGCTTATATTGCAGATTCACTTCGTTAAAGATTACTTTCCGATTTAATCTGTATCTAAATGACTATTAATGCAAGTATACTGCATTCGGTTGAATAGCACAGATCTTCTGTGATACAGATTGTGCCTGAAATTAAAGTTATCTGTTACGTTTTAAGCGTAAAGCGCTGCACAAACACGCATTTGAAATCTCAATTCCGATTTGCAGTATTGAAAAAGAAAACATATTTAAAAATGGAAGGCGAAAAATCCCAAAAACCATGTAGCAAATAGTTTCGGGACGCGAACGTGCTCGATGGCGCTGCTGCAAAATTCAGCGCCACATCGCGTCGCATCTGCGGAAGAGATTGGAGACAATGAAATGTGCGCGGGCGGAGGTGTCGCGCCACTCCGCCATTCCCTCAGTGCATACTCGATGTGGCGGAACGCGGGCCTAAGGCATAAGCGGAGGCGGCGCTGAGCGGGATTATGCATGTCGCACTGCAGCTACGATCGTGCAATGATATTATACACAAATACGAGCTAGATATGACACTAGCGCACCGAAATTGAGACACTCAAATTATTTATTGGAGTAATTAGATTGCAATTGTATAGACTGCTATCTCTTTCCGTATCATACGTTCTATGTCATCTGTCACATTCACTTATATATGTCATATTATATAAAGTGTAACAATTTATAAACACGCGCGCGCAGTATGGACATGCGTCGTCTATATTATTAAACATCATTTTAATTATTCCCAGGCTCATTCGTACTTGGTCTTTATATGAACATGCACTGTTAAATTAAAACATGTAGAAAAAGTACGAAAAGATTGTTCGATTCCCACAGCGGCTACAATCTTTTCGTACTTTTTCTACATGTTTTAATGTTCAATCTTAAGTGCAGAGATTAGCACTATAAAAAACTTTAAAATTTATAAAAAAAGCAATGGCGACATCTCTCGTTCGAATTATCGTTGTAAAACGATATTCGAAATTGTTTGTATGCTGGAAAGGATATAACAATAGATGCGCCAAGCATTGCTTCAAATGCTAAATAACAATGTAGAAAGAAGGCGTTAAGATTTTCGTCGCTGTGGCTATCAGCCGTTTAGCTCAGTGGCTAGAGCGTCAGGCCGCGAATGCCGAAGACGTGGGTTCGATTCCCACAGCGGCTACAATCTTTTCGTACTTTTTCTACATGTTTTAATGTTCAATCTTAAGTGCAGAGATTAGCAGTATAAAAAACTTTAAAATTTATGCACCGTTAAATATAAAATATTATCACTAATCAAATCCGTAAATTTATATCCGCAAGTTATTGAGATTGTCGTCTAGACTTATGTAGTTAAAATTGCAGATACACAAATGTATTGCTTAAACCTTGGAGGGCGTCATAAATCAAGAAGTACGTAAGCCTACGTGTTAATCTACGTTATGACATAAATTATGCATTTATATGTCATGAACTAGTCATGTTCCCTTTTTCCACAAGCTCTAAGTTGTCTCCTGTAGTCTTTTTGACGTCCTTCACTTACAGTTTAACGCACATTGGTACACGTACTATTAATATAATTCGGTACAACTTGGCTTTCCTCTATCAGACGTCATCTAGTCTAGTTATGTTATTCGAACAGTCCATCCAAAGCTTTCTCGGTCTGTTTTCAGATTTCCACCATGCAATAACATAGTATGAAAAAAGTTGCATTGTTTTTTAAATATTTCCATCGACATTCTGATTTTGTTCAGTTATAACATATAAGGTTGATACAAAATATATACAAAACTTATTAAAAGCCACTTTCCCGCTGCCTCTCGTGACTTGCGTTCAGAATCCCTCGGGCACTCGTTCAATGGAATCAAAGGATTTACGTTCATTACAGTCGGTAATAATTGATGGTTGTCGCCGTGCCGTGCTGGCGACACAACTTGCACACCACTAGGCTATCACTACTAATACTGAACGCGTAGCTAGATTGTCCGAGAACTTGGCCATTCTACGACAAAGTATGTATTTTAATACCAATGAAACTTATTTTCGATTGTGTCAGGCGGCGTGTGCTTATGTTTAATTTGGACCTTCGCGACTTTGTGAAGGGTTATTTTATAATGGCAGTGATATTACTTAAGTATAATTAAAAAAAAAATGATATCACCTTTTTGGTGGGCGTTTTAAATACATTATTGAAAAAAACATTTACTATACATATTAACATATTTATTATCTTAATTTATCCTCCAATAGAATCATCAAGTAAGCACGCTGTCACCAAGCGGCTGTTGTTTCAGAGTTTATGATTAATTCCAAGTCTCGTGCAAAATGTAGGTACTGAGGCACCACAGATTCCATTACCAGTACAAGGGTCAAGTAGACTCTGTCTAACGAAGCGCGCCTCTATTAATTGGTTTCCGCGAGGATGGAAAGGGGCGGTGAGGGGTCGCAGGGGGGGGGGGGGGGGGGGGGGCTGCGTTCCGAAAACGTCCTCCTTCCAGTCTCGGCTAATATGAATATTCAACTAGCGAATTGAATACAAGAAGGCACCGAACAAAGAGAATTGATGTAACCCTTAACACCGTTAGTAATTGCTTTCGATGAAACAGCACTGCGTTAATATAGCGCGATATTAAGACGTTCGCTTTGTCGGTGTCGCGCCGCCCCACTTTGAAGTTTAAAGTTTTGCAGTACTTATACTGATTGCACGATGGCCGAGTAGTTCGTCTTCAATTAAATCCTAGTCGAGCCCACGGTGTCATGTAAGCTTTAAGAAAAGTACAAATAATGCCTAAGTCTCATCGCTGAATAAGTGATTTTAGGGGGTAATTAGAATAGTACAAAAATATATGATATCATTCAAATGTGTTCGATTCGAGACGATTTTCCGGGCTTTTTATGTAAAATTTGCCGAAGGAGCGGGCGATTCCCCTGGTGTTAAGTGATTACAGCCGCACATGGACACACACAACATCTTGAAAAAAATGGGGTACAGATGCATTGCCTGTTTATAAAATTGTTGATCCCAAATAGGATGAGCTCGCTGGCCTACAACTTATTCTACTTAATCAGGATAGAAATTTTCACAATACAAACGTAGAGGCAAAAGAAACCAAACGGCTGCAAAAATTAAGTGATAACGTTAATGTACATGTTTTGATTCCTGTGTCAAAATTAACTTATATATTATGTGATTCAAATACATAGAATTAAACTATGAAATTTTATTCAATTTACTTAACTGACATTTATCATTTCGTGAATTCTTATATTTCAACCAGACTATACCAGTATATATATTCTTCTATTGTAATTTTAGTAAAATGTTTGTATTATTATAATGTTTTTGATTCATAATATCTTTATTAAAATTCTTTTATACTTTTATGGATGTGTCTTTACTGTTTGTTCCAAGGTAGTTTTTTACATATTACGTACTTTGTTGGTGATAAACATGTTTATATTAGTATTTACTTGCTAGTGATTCTAACTACCGTTCTAATATAAGTTTAGAGCCGGCCGAAACTGGACGTTAGGACAAGGCTTTACTAAGCCGCCTGTCAGTCGACATCATTACCAGAGCGCTCCTCTATCGGAGGCCGCTCCTGAGAGTGGGTAATGACTGCTGTTAATTATTCATGCAATTAACTGATTATTGCGACACTAGGGGGCTTAAGGTCGGACTAGCCCCGCAACTACAGACATCTATAATAAGGGTGGAGCGTCAGAGTAAAC